ATGTAAATACAATTACATGTAGTTTATATGAAGTTATAAGACCAAGATGAATGTAATGCCAGGAATAATGATGGGGTTGAAATCAGTCAGTAAGTCTCTCTCACACACACACACACACACACACACACACACACACACACACACACACACACACACACACACACACACACACACACACACACCTGTAAGGAGTGAGACCACCAGCCTGATCCTGTCTTTTTGTTTTAGCGCTGCTGCTCCAACAGACTGGGACTGGGACTGGGACAGATGGTCCGTCCGTCCCTGAGTCAGATTTGACTTTGCTAAAATGTTTTGTTCAGAATGTTTTTTAGAATTACAGTTTGATTTGTTTGTTGAACAGTGTTTGGCAGTGACTGAGTGTAACATGCTGAAAAACAAGTTTGCATTAGGGTCAGTAAGAAAAGGCTGTTGCACCTTAACATTTCTAAATATTCCCAGTGTGTGACTTGTTTGTGAAGAGAGCTGCAGATTGTCCTCAAGGATGCTCTTCAAGTGATGCTAGTTAGTCAGGCCTATAGCTTGAAGCTGAAGTGCCCCCATGTGGCAAGTTATATGTATTGCATTAAATGCAGTGGATTTTAATGTCTAAAATTTAGACAAGGTTTCAGTCCTCCTTCAGCTCATGAGCAGGTCCCTGTTTCTTTGTCAGATTCAAGGTCATACAATTCATACAACAATAATTCAATTACAATTAATGCATGTCCTCAGTTACATTTTATTGTTAATGTGGCCAAATATACAGTACCTGTCTGACCTGAGAGATTGTCTGTTGCATCAGTACATTAGCACATGGATTTTAGAAAGTAGGGCTCCAACAATTTTTTTTTATAAAGCCTATAAAGTATCAAAATGTGAAAAATGCTTATCACAATTTCCCAGTGGCGTATTCAGATTCTTTTGTACAACCACCAGTCCAAAACCCAAAGACTCTTCATTTACTATCATAAATGTTAAACAAAAGCAGCAAATGTTTGACAGATTTGCTTGAAAAATGCTGATTAAGTGATAATCAAAATACCTTGGAACTAAGTTTCTTTCTATCGACTAATTGATTTATTGACTAATCATTGCAGCTCTAGTAGAAAGATCATCATACATCTGTCTGTTGTTGGCACCACTGCATGCGCTTGCAGTGTCAAGTTATACAGTGAAGCATATCTGTGCACATTTTGAATTCAAAAAGACATTTGCGGAGAGTGGGGGCCCTAACTGGTTTTAAACCTTTGTGTCCTGTAATCCTACTCAGAAAAACAGGCCACATGTCGATGGCACAGGAGGAAAAAAATGGCCCATTAAAGCAATTCACCTTCCCCACCATGAGTCCTCATCCTCGGCGCAGAGAAGATTGTGTTCCTCGCCAACAACAGCGGCCTGAGTGGCTGAGAGCTGTTCAATCAAGTGGCACCGACAGACTAAATGACCTGTCAGATTTTGATTGGCTCATCCCAAGTTTGTGTCAAGGGTTAAATGGTATCCGGGTGGAGTGACGATGAAACGCACACCGAAACACACATGAGAGAGTGTGTGCGCACACACGTAGCAGAGTTGATTTTACTGTGCAGCATAATAACATCTTGGAGAAAGTATTACATCAAGCACATCAAGTAGTATTACGTACAAAAATAAAATAAAATACAGTGCATATAAGCTAATTGAAGTACATGAAGGCTGTGACAGCATTCACTGGGCTGAGAATATTTCAATCTGTAGAAGGTTGCTTTCAGGCTTTGCTGCAAGTTTGACAACAGCAAAATCAAAAAAAGCTACTGTAAGATGACTTTATGTTTAATGTTGATGGGTCATCCCCTCTGAGTGCTTTACCAAAGAGTGAAGAGACACAAGAAAGTCCAAATACTGTGTGACAAAACTACAATCAAATTAATAACAAATAAAAGAGACATCAAATAGCAAGATCAGGTATGCTAAGGACAAGAGAATATATGAAAAATAAAAAGTATAATAAAGCATAAGGACAATTCAGTATAAGATAAGAATAAAACAAAGGACAGTGACAGTTCAAAGAAATGTAGAATAAATAAGTTTTCAGTTGTCGTTTTTTAACTGTTGTCAGAGCTTACCTTTTTCTATGGGTGGGGGCTTCCATAGTTTTGGTGCGTTGTTAAAAAAGACTGAGCTGCAGATTTTCTAATTTGTGACATTTTGTTTTTTAAAAAATGGCAACAGGGGATCCAAGAGGCTGTAAAGGATGATAAAATGGCAAGGAATTGTTAATGCAGGGCAGTCCCAAATTATTAGAGCCTTGTAAACCAGTAATAGAAGTTTAAAATCAATCCAGATACTAGGAGCCAGTGCAGGTTAGATAAAACTAGAATGATACATTCATTCTTTCTTGTTCTAGTAAAAGCCTTGCACTAGAATTCTGAAGTGATTGTACAGTAATTTATCCATCGATTGTGTTGGAAGACCTGTGAAAAGAGAATTCTAGAAGTGTAATCTACTCAAAATAAACGCATGAATGAGTTTTTTTGGCATTTTGTTGGGATAGGAACAGCCATATTTTTGAAATATGTCTTAAATTAAAGTAAGCTGTTTTGGTCACCTTCTTTTTGTGGGATTTTAAATTGAAGTCTAATGTAAGCTGTTTTCAGGCTCTAAACAATGAAATTGCAGCTGTTTTTATTTACTAAAGGACAATAGAAGAAAAGCAGCAGTGCTAAAATTGCGTGTTTGGTTTCACATATTATGTATTTTAAGGTGATCTTGTTTAGAGATGCAAAATATGGCAGTAGGGAATGGAAAACAGGTTGATTACTGCTGACTGACCACTGCAGCAGAGGAAACGGTCTCTGAAATGTAATGGCTGGGAAAAGCAGGTGTAAAATCTGCGGGACTGTTTTATTAGCCTCCAAACAGTGAGAGAGAAACTGTGATATGAATTAATAGTTCAGATGATGTTTCAGCAATATAAAATATCTAATATGAAAGATGCCTTTCTGTTTCCTTCAGTGGCCTTCTGATTGTTTTCCTCTGGCTGACAGCCATATGATTGAAGAACTCACTTGTTATATTGGGTTCCTTTTTCATCTGTTTACGGAAATAATCCAGTCAGTCAACAGTACTCTTCCATTTACAGTATATAAATATATATAATGGTATAAAGTGATAACCCCCGAAACATATAAAAACACAAATTCACCATTGTATATCTTAAAAGTTACTGTAGGTAAGTAAAGAAAAAAAACTATATCCTGACAGCAGAACATGAGACAGATAATCTGTGAAAAAAATCAGGTTCCTCTGGCTCCTCCTAGTGCTCCCAGTGGTATTTGCATGAATCCACCGGTCTTGGACGAAAACAACCAATCAGAGGTGAGAAGGATGGGTAATTGTTGAGTCTCATTCCCAGGGTGTCAAATACAGACGCTTTGGGAGCGTCTTTGTATCTTTGTCGGCTCTGATCTCTAGGTTTACACTACAATGAGACCTGTGGGTCAGGGTAATATCTTACTGATCAAAACCGAGTAAATCCAGGAGAGCAGGAAAGTTGTCACTAAATGAAAAATCTCCTCTATTTTCCAACACTGGCACAAATTGCATATTAACACAGGGAGCAACAGTGAGTGGTTGTTCCGCTCTTAGTCTCACATCTTAGATTTATTGTTTTCCCCTCACATTAAAAGGGCAACTGTCATCAAATTTTGAGTTTTAAGTCCAACTCTTGAGTTTGGGGTGCCTGTATAGTCCACCTAGTAGAGCTGGCACAACATGTACCAAGGCAGAGTCCTTGTTGCAGCAGCCCAGGGTTCAAGTCCCACCTGTGGCCCTTTCCTGCATGTAATCCCCTCTCTCCCCCCCTTCCTGTCACTTTTCAGCTGTCATTACCCATTAAAGGCAATAAAAGCTAAGGAAACTAATAATAATTTACTTTTTCTTTATTTAGAAAAACCTTTTTAAAACAAAAAAAAATCAGTATTTCATAAGTTAATATATATACTTGATATATTGATTGATTTTATATATTATTTCATATTTTCAATTGCAACTTTTTCACAACTCACTGTTTTTAAAAATATTATTAAGACACAAATTTTAAAGAAAAAAAGAAAATTATTTCAACAAAAGATTAGCTGTCAGCAAAACTATAACATTTATTTCAAATCTTAAAAGTTTGCGTTGAATTTAGTGAACAGTTGCCTTGAAATTATGAGTTTTCTCAATTTATTTCTTTTTTTCAGTGCTGGCACAAAATGGCGATTAAATATCAACATAAAAACATCGGTATCGGCATTAGTTATTGGTCAAATTGCTAGTTTAAACATTGGAATTGGTATTGGCCCAGAATTCCCCAGTCAGTGCATCATAAACTATCAGGTAAAAATGACTGATCATAGTGTGAGCTTTGTGGGCTCTAGCTTTTGAAGACGAATGGGATATTCTCTGACTCACTTTATTTGTTCTAGTGTAGATTAACACAGTATAACACACCTGTGCAGATAGCATCAGTCCGTGCAGAGAGGAGGATTAGAAAGTGTAAAGAAGTATCTGCACAGTTTTCTGCACGAGTCACTAAGAGCATGCCTGACTCTACACTGGCTTGTGTGTATATTGTGGACTTAAATGGAAGCACATAAGTTCATGTAAGATATGAATCAATGAATATATTTATGAATTTCACTATAAATAGAAATACAACACAACATGAAGGGACAAACACAAGCCTGCACTGAATACCAAACCTCCAGCATCCACTAGCTAATTATCTGTTTTTTATGTTAATCTTAGCCTCTAATAATATGAATGTGATATCATGAGCTTCATATTTTAAATTCAGTTCAATTCAATTCAATTTTATTTGTATAGCGCCAATTCATAACAGAAGTTATCTCAGGACACTTTTCAAATAAAGCAGGTCTAGACCGAACTCTTTATAACATTATTTACAGAGACCCAACAGTACCACCATGAGCAAGCACTTGGTGACAACGGCAAGAAAAAACTGCTTGTTAAAAGGCAGAAACCTAGGACAGATCCTTCGGCTCTAGGTGGGTGGTCGTTTGTCTCGACCAGTTGGGGTGAGAGAGAGAGAGAGAGACAGAGACAGAGACAGACAGGTGCACAGCAACAACAGTATTGGTAATGGCAATCTAGCAGGACCATGGCAGGAGGCTCCACCAGGATCGATAAGTACCTGCGAGAGCACAAGAACTCCGGGGAAGAAGTGAAGTTAGTAACATGCATTAATGGGACATGAATGAGTGCAGAAAGAGAGAGGAAGAGAGGAGCTCAGTGCACCATGGGAAATCCCCCGATAGTCTAGGCCTACAGCAGCATAACTAAGGGATGGTTCAGGACTCACCTGATCCAGTCCTAACTATAAGCTTTATCAAAGTGGAATGTCTTAAGCCTACTCTTAAATGTGGTGAGGGTGTCTGCCTCCCGAACCACAACTGGAAGCTGGTTCCACAGGAGAGGAGCTTGGTAACTGAAGGCTCTGGCTCCTGTTCTACTTTTAGAGACTATAGGAACCACAAGTAGCCCAGCATCCAGAGAACATAGTGTTCTAGTGGGGTAATAGGGTACTATGAGCTCTTTACGATATGAAGGGGTCTGACCATGAAGAGCTTTATAGGTGAGGAGGAGAATTTTAAATTCTATTCTAAATTTTACAGGGAGCCAGTGCAGAGTAGCTAGTACAGGAGAGATGTGATTTATTTTTCTAGTTCTTGTCACTACTCGTCCTGCAGCGTTTTGAATTAATTGGAGCGTTTTAATGGACTTATTGGGGCAACCTGACAATAAAGAGTTGCAGTAATCCAGCCTAGAAGTAACAAATGCATGGATTAGTTTTTCTGCATCTGTCTGTGATAGGATGTGTCTAATTTTTGTAATATTACGTAAATGAAAGAAGGCAGTCCTAGAGGTCTGCTTCATGTGGGAGTTAAATGATAAGTCCTGATCAAAGATAACTCCAAGATTCCTGACAGTGGTGCTAGAGACCAAGGTAATGCCATCTAGAGTAACTATATCTTTAGACAGTGAGTCTCTAAGATTTTGTGGGCCAAGTACAAGAATTTCGTTTTTTTCTGAGTTTAACAGCATAAAATTGCAGCTTATCCCGGATTTTATGTCCTTAAGACATGTTTGTAATTTAAATAATTGATTAATTTCATCGGGCTTGATTGATAGATATAACTGCGTATCATCTGCATAACAGTGAAAGTTAATGGAGTGATTCCTAATAATTTTGCCTAAAGGGAGCATATATAAAGTAAATAGTATTGGTCCAAGTACAGAACCTTGTGGAACTCCATGACTAACTGTAGTATTTATTGAAGATTCATCGTTAACATGTACAAACTGCGAACGATCTGATAAATATGACTTAAACCAGCTTAGTGCGGTTCCTTTAATGCCAATTTGATGCTCAAGTCTCTGTAAAAGAATATTATGGTCATTGGTGTCAAATGCAGCACTAAGATCTAATAATCAAGTACAGAGACAAGTCCAACCAGAGCTGTGAAAATCCTCAAATAAACTATTGTTATGTAAAAAGTCACACAACTCTTTGGCGACTACTTTCTCCAGAATCTTAGAGAGGAAGGGGAGGTTAGAGAACGGTCTATAGTTGGCTGAAACCCCTGGGTCAAGAGTGGGCTTTTTAAGAAGGGGTTTAATTACAGCTACTTTAAAGGACTGTGGTACATATCCTGATGATAAAGAAAGATTAATCATATCCAGTAAAGAAGTGCCAATTAAGGGTACGACTTCTTTAAGCAGCTTAAATGATGCCTCCAGTTGGGAGTGAACATGACCTGACATTGCCACTACAATGGCATGTAGTTTAACAATTTAAAAAGCAGGCTTTCTTTCAGATTGATTCTTATTATACGATCATTCCACCTGATTTCCCAGCATAGAACACCTTTTTTTGTTGCTGTGTGGTCAAATTGAAATGCTGGTTGCCACTCCCCTTCATCACAAAATGACCATCAGTATTGTGTGTTGATCAGCCACAGTGACTCAAACAGACTGTGACTGACGTCTGAGATTTTTAAAATTACATTTCTGGCTTGTTTTTTTTGCTTTTTTAGAAAGCTTTGATTTCCGTCTGCTTCTTCCTCTGGAATTTCAAGGCTCTCCCACGTCCCTCAAATTCAAGGAGAGTGACTAAAGGGGGGGGTGGGGGTGGAGCTTGATAATTAGGTTTCAGGTCTGAATGTTGTTTCAGGAAGTACATGCAAACGATTAATGTCAATAAATATCATAGATTGCACAATGCCTCTGAACCTCAAACCTTGGAGGTTTCTTTAATGTCTGATAATGTTGCAAATATAACATGTAAAGATCATGTTATATCTTGACCGTTGGTTGTGACTCAGTCTCTTATGCTGACTGTCCTCCATCTTCAAATGGGGGTCGTGATCTAGAGCATGATGCAGGAGGACAGCGACAACACCCGGTCACAATGAAATTAGGCATGTGGATTCAATCCAGTAAGAAAAAATCAATAAATAAGGTTAGACTAAAGTGGGAGAATCTGGACTTGTCATTTAAGAGGAAGATGGGTTGAAAATGCTCTGTGCAGTCTGCTTCCACCAGTTCGGGTCTTTGGAGAGAATTCTGCAGGCGAAATTTGATTAGATACTTTGTAACCCCCAAGTTAAAATGTGCACAGACAGGTTAGGTTGCAATGTTGGAGGAAATGTGGAGAACAGCGGGCAGATCATTTCCATATATTGGAGAGTTGTCCGGCCATTCATAATACGAGAAATAAAGAACGTCTTTGGGGATGGAGTTGATTGCTCTTTCTCTATAATCTATTTGCGCAATATTGTAGCTCATTTACAGACAAATGGATACTATTAGCAGCTGTAAGAAAGCTGTAACATGGAAATGGTTTGCGATACAAATCTGTGATTCTTACCATCCCTGCTGTAAACATGTGAAAGAGTGAAGGGGAGAAGTCAGAAAAGGCAGCTGAGCTGAGAGGTCTGTGTTTGTTGATTTGTGCTTTTTTTTCCTAACTGACCAACCATCCATCCAACCATGCCCCCTGCTGCCCACACACACACACACACACACACTTTTCATCTCTTGTTACAATAGAGCGCACACACACACACACACACACACACACACACACACTCACACTCACACTCAGGCTGCCCACTGATGCTCTCTATCCTACGAGGGCATTCTGTTCACTGCCTCAATCAGCTCTGATGAGGTATTATTCTCCATCACTGACTGTTTTGTGGCTGTCCCCTCTGGTAGATGGAATGGGTAATGATAACACCCACACACACACTAAAGCATCACACACAGACCATGTGATGGCAGTACTGTGTGGGGTAGAAAAACTCGGTATCCTTCCATATAGCTGAATCTCTATTTATGTCAGTGTGGAAAGCTGTCGTGGTGACCCCATCCCCTCATGAGAATTCAGAAAATACACAGTATGTACGTTTTTCAGACACCATAAGACATACGGCTTGTTTCCTTTTCTCACATCACAGATGATGTTGATGCCAAAGTGGCCGGATGTTTTAGCATCATTTGCTAGCAACTAAAAGCCCTGTGACCCTGATTCCATCTGACTCAAGAAGTGGGGGAGGTGGGAGTCGAGAAATGCAGTTTCTGATCAGATTGAATTAGCACGCTTCCAGTAACTTTAATGCCTAACAGCAAATGCTTTCAGTTCGCCGTGCTCTTCTGCTGTGAGATTGAGTTTCGAAGGTTCGGATCAATGTGAGGATCAGTGGCTTGTGGGATTGGTTGCACCTTTACCCTCTTCCTGTTTGGGTTCTGAATGCTTGGAGAAACAGATGATATAGAAAGAAACCAAGGAAATACACAGTCTTGACTGTTTGAGGTGGCTGATATTGTATTAGGCCATATGTTCTTCAGACCTATGTCTATTTTGTTTTTTTTTGGTTTGGTTTGTTTTTTTGGCTGGCTTTTTAAGTTATTTTTTTTGGCCTTTTCATGCCTTTATTGGACAGAGACAGCTGAAGATCGACAGGAAGGGGGGGTAGAGAGAGAGGGGATGGAGGGAGGGCCGCAGGTCGGATTCGAACCCGGGCCGCTGCAGCAACTCCGTATATAGGTCGCCAGCTCTACCCACTGACTTTATACATAAAGTAGAGATGTTCCAATACCATTAAATTTTTTTCCTTCCCTTTTCTGATTCCGATACCTAAACTTTGTGTATCACCCGATACCGTGTACTGATACATGTACATTAAGAAATACGTATATATATATATATATATATATATATATATTTTTTTTTTTTTTTTTTTTTTTTTTTTGTGTATATAAAATAAGTGTATACTACTTAGCCTGTAGGATTGCTATCATTGTTGTATGGCCTGGCTCAGGTTAAACCAGTGGTTCCCAACCCTTTTTCTTAAGGGACCCCTTTTCTATCATTGGATAAACTGACGACCCCCTCCTAACTGACACATTTTATGAATATTTCATATTATATTCAATGCGATGAGATTTGTATGAATTTTGAACAAATTATTTTTCTGTGAATACTCATCAGAGATGAGGTTTCCTGATATGTTTGCAGAATTTTTAATCATTTTCTTTCTGTATTATGTTTTTTTAATGTTTAACAATTATACATACTTAATATGCTTTTTTTTTTTAACAAAGTCAGTGTTTTCTCATTGTTCTATTAGCTCTTTGGTTATTTTAACTATGTACTTTTCTAATGCAGGATGAGGCTGTTTAGCAGAGTGAAGGAAGTGAAAGTGTGAATAAAGCTTGTCTTCAGCGTTTAGATCTTAAATAATAATTTGTGAAATTCTGAAATGCTGAGATATATCTGCCATATATATCTTTACATTTTTTTCTTACACCCCGCAACCACCCGTGAAGCTTTTGCAACCTCTTGTTGGGGTCCCGACTCCTACGTTTGGAACCACTGAGTTAAACCCTTGGTCAGAGTCAGAGAAATACTGGTCATGACTTTGCCAACCGGACACCACTGGAAAGTGTGCACTGTCATAGTTTTGGGTTAACTCTAGTTATTTCCTGTTTTATTTTGTATTTTTTCCTCCTCTTGTGTCTTGCTTAAAGTGTACATCCTGACTTTGTCTGTTTCCCTTTTGATTGTCTGCCTGATTATTTTCAACTCTCTTGTTATCCTTCCCCTCACCTGTGTTTTTAGTCTGTGTGTTCCCTTGTTTCTG